GTTAATTTATTCCTGATGTTTCTTATCCATCACTACGGTCACTTTATCTAATTCTTACCTTTACAGTTATATTGTTTATATTAGTTCTGTTGTTCCATTATTCTCCATGCACCTTATTAACTTATCATTTAGTATTTGCCTACCTGCACATAGCTCTGTATATATATATTTATTTATCATTTACTGCACATAGTTCTGTTTACATCTGTTACATCTGTTAGTCCGATCACTGTCCACTTATATCTAATCTTTTTATATTTTGTATTTTTAAGTTAAGTTTAAGCTTTAAGTTGTTTTTAAATTGACACTTTCTATTTAGGTTAAAATGTTTTGTTTACTTGCACTGTTGTTAATCTACTGCTCTGTGTCTTTGAATTGCCCCCCGGGGACAAATAAAGTTTTTTGAATTGAATTGAAATGATATATTTTATTAAGGTGGGGGATATTCTTTATGGATTTACTCAACTTGATGCCACATGACCTTAATATTTACCATAAAACGTCAATCCATAGCCCGGGCTTTATTAACTTTAATCTGAGATGGCCTTTCATTATTTTCAAACTAAATTTGTTCAAAGCAGGAGACTAAACAGATTTACATGTAACTCTGACCCCTAGTGTTTAAAATGGGTACTGCAGTCTAAATTCTAAACATCTTAGAGAGCTGTCTCCCATGTGGTGGACTCTGAAGCTTCAGTGTTTATCCAGCTCTGCATGGGTCTGTAAACCTTTCTGTGTTCTAACCTCTCTCCATTTTTCAAAAGTCATTTAATACATTTAACAGCTGCAGGTGAAGTTTCTATGAATCAAATCAGAACCCGTTTCATTTGACAAACTCAAACTTATTTTCTTCTTGAACTCAATATAAAAATCTCTTCAGACGTTTGGAGACAGGAAGTGGACTCCAGACAGTCGGTAAAAAAATGCTCTAAAAAACTTTATTGTTCCAGAGAATATTCACAAACAGGTCTCATTCCCAATAGCTGAAAAATCTCAAACAAACTGACCAATGGCTGAGCTCCGTCGCACAGGGACGACTCCATCAACAGAAGAAAAAAAATCAGAAGAATGACCACAGAAGAAATAACAGAAACCAGAGAATTAGAATAAACTTTTTTTCAGACGTTTATATAAAAAAAATCATATTTTAATGGGACAGAAAATAATTTACAATAAGCTGGTTTAAACCCCGCCCCCTTCTGCAGAGGCCCCACCCACTGTTAGCACTGTGACCTTTGACCTCTATCCTGAACTCTGGGTTAGGGAGGGCTAGCTACATCTACATTTAATAAACTCAAACTTTATTGTTTTTCCTTTTTAGCCGAACATGTGACTCCAGCCCTCGCCGTCTCCATGACAACAAAGTAAAACAGTTTCTGACTGGTCGATAATGTACAGATATCCTACAAGTCTTTTTTTTTTTTAATCTGTCTCCCAAGGGACAGGAAACTCTCAAGGAGTCCCCGCCTCCATCCTGTTGACATGATAACCAGACGCAGGGTGGAGCTTAAGACAACAGTAACCAATCAGAGTCCTCAGCTTCACATCAGCTCCTCCTATTGGTCGGTTTTGAACTTCTTTGGTCCGACAGGTTTACTGCAGGTGAGAAGAAGAAAAGGATAAGAGACGGAGCAGAAGAAGAAAAACATTTCAATAAAAAATAAAAACGGTCTTCATATATAAAGAGGTTTGTTTAACCTTTGGGCAACAGCTAGCATGACGTTACATCATCTTCCATTTACAGGAAATCTAAAACTCTGATTCTTGTTATAACGTATTAATATGATCAAAGCTCTGACGTTGTCGTTTCTTTAAAGCCTCCAGAAACTCAAATCCACTAAAAGCTTCTAAGGTCCCGATCACACAGAGGACCATCGAAACAAAGCATCGCTCGCAAAACCATCAAAGCCAATCAGAACGCGAGCTGCCACGCCCACACAGGCTGGGAAATTGAGTAGTTTTTGTCTCAGTTTTCTAAAAGTTATGAATGTTTGTTTTCACTCAGATTTTTGTGGATGTTTAAGGAGGCGTTACATTTTGATATCACATTTTTAATATTTGAAATGAGGCTTGATAAGAGCGGACGCTTGGTAAAAAACATCTGCAGTTTAAGATAAGTTCAGTTTTATTGATGTTTGTAATAAATAAATGAAAAAAATAATCACTAAGTGAAATTAAACTAAAAGATGTTACACTAAAAATAAATAAAGTTTCCTGTTTGTGTGAGAGAAGAGAATTTGTTCTTACTAATCAGGAGACACGCCGGCTCTCTTCACAGCTGGTTTAGCTTCTTTACTGCTCTCTACACACACACACACACACACACACACACACACACACACACACACACACACAGAATTAACATCATCGTCTACAATTCTTCCCAAGCAGGTATCGATATCGTGATTTTAAATTGTGGTATCATAACAACCCCCGTTGACTCACCTTGTAACCACCTGACCTGCGTGGCGGGGCCGTAGCCCTTCTGATTGCGTGCGGCGATGCGGAAGATGATGGCGGGTTTGGTGGTGTGGTCGATGTGGGCGTTGGCGAGGCTGGAGGCCTGGACCAGACAGGACGGGCTGACGCCGCAGTACACCCTCATGAAGGCCAGCTGGGCCGGACCAGAACCTGAGGCCGAGCTCGCCTGGCTGGACTGGATGGCCAGGTACACCGAGTACTCAGTGATCTTACCTGAGGTGACGGCAGGAGGCTCCCAGGTGAGCTGAGCCCCGTCCATGTTCTACAGCAACACAATCAGAGAGAAGCAAGTTAGAGCAGGCTGAGGGGACTACATTACCCAGCATTCATTCTGTTTTTTGAAGACACGGGCCCTTTCTGAATTGTTACAGTACGTACTATTCAGTATGGAGTTTCAGTATACTGAACCCTCGTGGTCATTCAGTGGTCATCTTTTGGGTCCACCTCAGTATACTGAACATTTCAGTATGGATACTAACTTCCAGGTTTCATGCAGTATGGATCAGATGCGTGCTTTCAGGAAATGAATTGTATTTTACCCACAATGCTGTGCAAAATTAAACGTAAATCATCACGTCACGTGTGCCTCCAAATCAAAACAAACGAGCGTGGATTCATTTAATCAATTTTTAATCTTAATTTAAAGTCCCGACTGAAATCACTACTTTAAATTAACAACAGACAATATAACAAATATCTGTATTATTATAAAACCTTTCCCCCTCTATTTAAATAAAGATTTAACTATTTAAATAATGATTTCTCTATTTAAATAATGACGTCACTTCCTTACTGAATGAATCAGAAGAAGTAGGAACAAATATCTGCCTACTGAACAGTAGGTACTAAACAGTATACAGCAGATAGTAGGTACTGAGGGGACTACATTACCCAGCATTCTTTCTGTTTTTTAAAGACACACACAGGTCCTCATAATATCACAGTTGGTGTGGTTTCCATGGTAACCAAGCTGAGCAAAAACTTCAAACATCACAAACAGGACGGGAGCTCACCTTGCTGATCTTGATGGCGCAGGGCGCTCCGGGGAAACCAGGCAAACACGTTTTAAAAGCCGACACCTCCGAGAAGGCTCCGCGGCCGCAGATATTTATCCCCGCAACACGAAACTTATACGCCGTGCCCGGCTGAAGCTCCACCTTCTTCATTTGACTGTAGTCAGGTACCACGCCTGAGTCATCCTGCAGGTGCACGCCATCAAAACATGAGTGATAATGAACCAGTGTGTGTGTGTGTGTGTGTGTGTGTGTGTGTGTGTGTGTGTGTGTTTCTTACGTCGGCCATGTTTTCTCCGTAGGGGACGTAGTAATGTGTCACCACCATGTTGGTCACCTTGACGATGCCGACGTCATACCACTGACTGTCCTTCACTGATGACCTCATCACCACGGTCGGCTTCTACACACAGTTAGCATAATGCTGTTAGCAAACGATCATGTTCTTCATATGTATTGTTAGCATGCGGTTAGCGAGCGGCGCCTCTCACCCCTGCAGGAGCGGGGTTGCCGTTGGTAACCTCTGCGGGCAGCGCGGCTGTTTGAATCTTAACCGGGCTGGCAGTCAGCTGAGGGCTGGGGCCAAATGTACTGGCCAATCGGGCCACGGCGCTGGTCACAGCTGATGATGTCAGCTCGTGTCCGTTACTCTCTGCGGCGGGGTCATTCAGGCTGTCTGCTGGAGCAAGGCCCTCTGGGAAATAAACAAAAACTTTATTTAACAGCTGACAAGTGACAACAATCACACAGCAGAACCTCAACACTCATTATTGTTATTACTGACAGATAAATCATTATAAAAACTCCAGCCTAGTCCGTGTCATCGAGTATCCCAGCATGCTTTGCGGTATAAACTTGTACATTGGAAGCATCCCGCTATTTAGATGTAAAATACGTGTTAAAAGTGCGCCGTACCCACCAGACTGTACGGGTTCTTAAAACGTAATTGTAGCTCAGAATAAACCCAAAGTGTCTCTTCAGATTATAACCTTCAAAATAAAAGTCCAGAACCACAGATGCACCTGAAACCATCTGTGTTCAGGAGCACATGGTTCACCTGTTCAGGTGTGTGTGTGGGTCTGCATGTGTACCTGTGGGCAGGCTGCTGGGCTCAGGTTCAGGTTCAGGTTCAGGTTCAGGTTGGTTGTGGATGCCCTGAAGCTGCTGCTGTACCAGAACCGCCAGATCCTGCTGAGTCAGAACTATGGGCTGATCCTCACCTTCAGAAAGAGAGAGAGAGTGAGACACACACACACAAACACACACAGGTGGTGGTAAGGTGCAGTGTGTACTGGTCTGTAGTCGACCTGTTTACCAGGGTTCAGGTCTCAGTAGAGCCCCCTGGTGTTCATATAAAGAAAACTCACCCATGTGTCCCGCCGCCTGCAGCACGGCCTGAATTGTCGCCTGCTGTACAGCGTCGTCTGTTCCCGTGGTTACGGCCAGCTGATCCGCGGTGAGTCCCGTCACCATCAGGGTCGTCGTACCCTCCCCTCCATCCCCCTCTGATGACATCAGCTCATGAGGAAGACCGCCGTCTGAGGTCATCTGAGAGAAACCAGCCGATTGGTTAGACCACTGTGTGTGTGTGTGTGTGTGTGTGTGTGTGTGTGTGTGTGTGTGTTTCTGTGTGTGTGTGTACCTGTGCCGCCTCACTGTCCTCCATATGAACCTGTAACACCGTTGGCATCACATGCCCCGGTTGGCTGTCAGTCTGCATAGGCTCCTCCCCATCTTCTGCTGATCCAGTTACCATGGCAACAGCCTCCGCCTCAGACGACTCAGCCCTGCCCTCTCCAACCAATGAGGAGATCTCCTGCGAACAAAGAGGATCATGGGACATCAGATATGGTGAAGGTGTGTCGGTGAGCGCGTGTGTGTGTGTGTGTGTGTGTGTGTGTGTGTGTGAGAGCATGCTTACAGGTATAGATGGTCCGGGGGTGGGTGTGGACTGTGTAACCGTGGTAACAGCTCTACTCTGGCTTGCTGTGGAGGGGGCCGGTGCAGGGGGGTCAGAGGAGGAGGAGGGGTCTGTGGAGTCTTCACCCTGCTGAGCTGCAGACAGAGGACAGGAAAGTGATGTGAATGGACAACTTCTTTAAGACAGAACATTTTTATTGTCCAGGTGAGACCTCAGGTGTGCGAGCAGGTTACCTGTGGCTGTGGTGGCAGTGTTGGTGGTCCCGGTCTCGTGGGTCTCACAGGGGGGGTTCGAACAAACCTGCAGGCAGATACAACAGAGCTCAGTCTACACTCGTGTTCGACTAATCAGAAGCCATCAGAGCAAACCTGTCAGTGGTTGTCTCACCTGTGAGAGTCCACCTGTCCCCGCCGTGGTGGCAGTGTTGGTGGTCCCGGTCTCGTGGGTCTCACAGGGGGGGTTTGAACAAACCTGCAGGCAGATACAACAGAGCTCAGTCTACACTCAAGATCAACTAATCAGAGGCCATAAAAAAAGGTTTGCCAGTGGTTGTCTCACCTGTGTGAGTCCACCTGTCCCTGCCGTGGTGGCGGTGTTGGTGGTCCCGGTCTCATGAGTCTCACAGGGGGGGTTCGAACAAACCTGCAGACAGATACATTTGGAGTTCAGTCTACACTCCTTTTTAACAAATCAGAGGCAATAAGTGCAAACATGACAGGTGTTGTCTCACCTGTGTGAGTCCTCCCGCCCCCGCTGTGGTGGCAGTGTTGGTGGTCCCGGTCTCGTGGGTCTCACAGGGCGGGTTGGAGCAGGTGTTCCCTGCAATCTGACTGACAGGAGCAGCCAGGTTGGAGCTCACCTGAGGATGAAAGGGGAGGAGCTGAGCACACTATTTGTTACCTCATAATAAGTCTTCCTGTCTAAACACCTGAGTGTGAGCTCACCTGTGGCAGTTGGTTCATGCTGGCCGAGGCGGTCGTGGCGGTGTTGGTCGTCCCCGTTTCGTGCATCTCACACGGCGGGTTGGAGCATTCTCTGTTGTTACCGCCCATGGCTGCTGTGGCGACTGTGGCAGTGTTGGTGGTGCCAGTTTCATGGGTCTCACAAGGCGGGTTGGAGCACACCAACGTCACTGCAGCATCATCAGTGACATCATCAGTGACATCATCAGAAACACTGCAGTGCATTGAATAATAAGCAGAATGTGCAGTACTGGTTTGTGTACCTGTGTTACCTGCAGTCTCTCCACTCTCTCCTCCCGCAGTACTGGATGTAGTTGTCGTGGTGCTTGTAGTACTTCCAGGTTCTTCTGAAGTCGGGGACGCCATGATGGAGACGGGTAGATCCTGGACCAGAGACTCCGCTCCACTTGGAGTTGTGATCAGAGTCACCTGTGCACACAATACTGCATTATTACTACAGAACTACACAACATGAGTCACTCAGGTGTGTGTTTTCAGTCTTCAGTTACCTGTTTGGGTCCAGCTGTTGTAGCTGTGACCTTGCCAGCAAGTGTGGCAATGGTTGCTAGGGTGGTGATGGGCGTTGCCAGGGAGGAGGTAACAACTCCTCCTGGTTTTGCGGTGGAGATACTTCCCGTTACAGTCCCCAGACTGGACACACCTGATACACACACAAACATACACACACACACAAACACACACACACAAACACACACACACAGGGTCAGCTCAGGTGTGTTGCAGCTGAAATGGAGAGTACTTGACGTGTAACCAGGGTTTACCTGAGGTTCCCTTGACAACCAGTGTGGTCACATTGGGTTTGGCGCCAACAGCTCCAGGTGACACTAGTCTGACTCCGCCCATAGGTACAGTCCTCAGGATTGTACCTGGCGTCCCCGGAGCTCCTTTCAACACCACCTTAACACACAGGAAAAAAACAACAGTTAGTATTATATATATGACTTGCATACGTATTACCTGTAGTCAGGTGTGTTACCTGTGGTCTGGTGTGTTACCTGTAGTCAGGTCTGTTACCTGTGGTCAGGTGTGTTACCTGTGGTCAGGTGAGTTACCTGTGGTCAGGTGTGTTATTTGTGGTCAGGTGTGTTACCTGTAGTCAGGTGTGTTTCCTGAGGTCAGGTGTGTGAATTGTTGTCAGGTGTGTTACCTGTGTTCAGGTGCGTTACCTGTGGTCAGGTGCGTTAAATGTTGTCAGGTACGTTAAATGTTGTCAGGTGCGTTACCTGTGGTCAGGTGTGTTACCTGTGGTCAGGTGTGTTAATAGTGGTCAGGTGTGTTACCTGTGTTCAGGTGCGTTAATTGTGGTCAGGTGCGTTAATTGTGGTCAGGTGTGTTACCTGTGTTCAGGTGTGTTACCTGTGGTCAGGTGTGTTAATTGTGTTCAGGTGTGTTACCTGTGGTCAGGTGTGTTACCTGTGTTCAGGTGCGTTAATTGTTGTCAGGTGCGTTACCTGTAGTCAGGTACGTTACCTGTGGTCAGGTGCGTTACCTGTGGTTAGGTGCGTTAATTATTGTCAGGTGTGTTACCTGTGGTCAGGTGCGTTAATTGTTGTCAGGTGCGTTACCTGTAGTCAGGTGCGTTACCTGTGGTCAGGTGCGTTACCTGTAGTCAGGTGCGTTACCTGTGGTCAGGTGCGTTAATTGTTGTCAGGTGTGTTACCTGTGGTCAGGTGTGTTAATTATTGTCAGGTGTGTTACCTGTGGTCAGGTGTGTTAATTATTGTCAGGTGCGTTAGCTGTGGTCAGGTGTGTTAATTATTGTCAGGTGTGTTACCTGTGGTCAGGTGTGTTAATTGTGGTCAGGTGTGTTAATTGTGGTCAGGTGTGTTAATTGTTGTCAGGTGTGTTAATTGTTATCAGGTGTGTTACCTGTGGTCAAGTGTATTACCTGTGGTCAAGTGTGTTACCTGTGGTCAAGTGCATTAAATGTTGTAAGGTGTGTTACCTGTGGTCAGGTGTGTTACCTGTGTTCAGGTGCGTTAATTGTTGTCAGGTGCGTTACCTGTAGTCAGGTACGTTACCTGTGGTCAGGTGCGTTACCTGTGGTTAGGTGCGTTAATTATTGTCAGGTGTGTTACCTGTGGTCAGGTGCGTTAATTGTTGTCAGGTGCGTTACCTGTAGTCAGGTGCGTTACCTGTGGTCAGGTGCGTTAATTGTTGTCAGGTGTGTTACCTGTGGTCAGGTGCGTTAATTGTTGTCAGGTGTGTTACCTGTGGTCAGGTGTGTTAATTATTGTCAGGTGTGTTACCTGTGGTCAGGTGTGTTAATTATTGTCAGGTGCGTTAGCTGTGGTCAGGTGTGTTAATTATTGTCAGGTGTGTTACCTGTGGTCAGGTGTGTTAATTGTGGTCAGGTGTGTTAATTGTGGTCAGGTGTGTTAATTGTTGTCAGGTGTGTTAATTGTTATCAGGTGTGTTACCTGTGGTCAAGTGTATTACCTGTGGTCAAGTGTGTTACCTGTGGTCAAGTGTGTTACCTGTGTGAGTCCCTGCTGGCCTCCTGAGCCGATCTTCGGGACGGTTGTGAGAATTTTTCCGGCACTTCCTGCTGTGACCATCTTGGTGGTGAAGATTGTATATGGACTGTTGGCACCTGCAGGGGAGGAGGAGCTTTACTGTTAGTCATCCTGTTTGAAATAAAGCATGTCAGGTGTGTGCAGGTGTGTGTTTGAGTACCTGCCCCCCCCTGCAGAGCAGACATAGGGATGGTCTTGATGATAGTGGCTCCTGGTTTTGTGCCTGTTCCCGGGGCTACGCCGAGGATTGTGGATTTGGGGGATCCGGCCTGCGCGGTGCTGAGGAGGGTCGTCTGCTTCCCGTCGGCCGACGTCACCAGCTTCAGGATGGTTCCTGGTGGGAGGGAGCCTTTCGTCTGACACACAGAGAGGGGGGTGGGGTTAATGTGTATGCTGGATCTTACGGGGCAGGGTTAATGTGAGGTTCAGCCTGTACCTGCAGGAACTGTGTGAGGGGGCTGCTCACAGTCTGACCAGTCGCCGCTCCACTCTGCACTTGTTTAGTCTGGACCACCATCTTCCCAAGGTTACCGAGGTTACCAAGGTTACCGATCTGACACAGACAGAAAGTGAGATTTGTTTCCATTTTTTTTTAAATTGTTTTGCTGTAAAGGCGCCTTCACAATACTCACCAGAGACCCGCCTCCTCCCAGTGAACTGTTGACCAGTGTGATGGTCTTTGTGACTCCCCCCACCATTGTGGTGACCACTTGAGCCTGTTGGGAGACGGTCACTGTGCCCGATTTATGCACGGTGATGATCGGTCTGCCGGGGGTGCCGGAGGTGGAGACTCCAGAGGACACGCCCACCTGAGCAGCAGCAGTCTTCAGGATGCGGGTGGCTGGGTTTGTTACCTGCAACAGGTGAGAGGAGACAGGTTTGTGCTAAGATGATTGACAGGTTGTACTGAAGGGGGCGGGCTTTGATTATGTTTTGAGATCAAAGTGTGTCTATTCCTCCCCTGCTGATGACTCACTTCCTGTTTGTGTGATAACTGTGTTTATGCCTGTTCCCTAAACATAGTGTTCAGTTTGATACAGTATATAGTGTTGTTACCATGGTAACGGGGGTGCCCTGTTTGGTTCCTGGACTCACAGACACAGTCTTTACAAGCGTTGCTCCCGCAGGGACGTTCAGCATTGCCGTGGAGGGAGGGATCTTCTGAGTCGCTGCAGCGGCGGCCGCCAACGCCGCCATGCCGCTCATCTGCGGACTGCCCCCTTGTGACTGAGAGCAGACGGGAGGCAGGAGGCGGGAAAACAATGAATTAAAGAGTTGGGCCCGGGATATTTTTTTCAGGAGCTTTCAGCAGCTGGAGATCCTCAGTTGCCATGGAGACACTGCATCAGTCTCCATGATGACTGAGCAAACTTCCTGTTTTGATAAATGTGCACAAAACGTCAGAGGACCACGAGTTAGAAATAATGAGGAGGGTTTTTTTTACCGTCGCTTGACCAGCCTGGGCAGGTACGACCATACGAACACCTGCAGGAAGTGTCGTCACGGCGACTGGAGATTTAGGTGCGGCGTGCCTCACAGTAACGAAAGAGGCTCCGCCCCCTACTCCTGGAGCTGCCACCTTCAGGACTGCTACAGAAAAGGTGAAAAAGGTCACAGGTGAGAAAAACTCAGATCAACCTACCTACATCTACCTGGAGAAGTGTGTTACTCACCTGGGGCTTTGGCTGCGGCAGCCAATGGGCTTGCAGGAACAGAGGCGGTGTGGGAGGGCAGCAGTGTGATGCCAGACTGGTTGGCTAATGTCGTGGCGACGGGGGAGGGGCTGTTTGAGAAGCTCGCTACAGGTGTGGCTGTTGGGACGAGGTTGGGGGCGGTGCTAGCGGCAGATGAGGTGACAGCAGGTGTGGCAGGAATGTCATACTTCTGTAGCTGCAGCACGTAGGTGTCGGCGGTCTGAGACGGGCCCCAGCTCACCTCCAAAGACGACGTGTTAGCCCGAACCAGCTGGACCCGGGAGGGGGCGCAGGGACGCTCTGAGGACAGAACAGGTGAGACAGAAAGGTGAGACACACAGGTGGGACACACAGGTACAGCTCTGCTGTCTGTCAGCTGTCTCACTCACCTGTCTCCAGGTACCAGAGGTCCTTGCAGCACACCTGGTTGTTCCAGGCCTTCCTGTATCCGTCCCTGCCGCTCCAGATGTACAGTCTGGAGTTGATGGCCACGCTGCAGTGACCGGCGCGAGCTCTCGGGACGTTCTCCTCCAGACTGTCCATCAGCACCGTCTCCCAACACATCGTATCTGCAGGCAGACAGACAGGTGGTCAGACAGGTGGACAGCAGTGTGAATATGTGTGTTCAGGTGTGTGTGTGTGTGTGTGTATGTACCAAGGTTGAGGCAGGCCAGTGAGTTGGTACACTTCCACTCCTTCTCATGAGTCGCCACCTTCACATCATCCATCACCAGAGGAACCCAACCTCCAAACACGTACATCCTGACCACAGACAGACAGTTAGTCAGTAGTGTCAGGTGAGAGCTACCTTTGTACTGTCTGTGTGTAATATATGTGTGTAGTACTTTTGTGTAGTATTACTTGTTGTTGATGGTGGTGGCAGAGTGAAGGCTTCTGGGAAGGGGTGCGGTTCCATTGAGGGTCGGTTTACTCCATGTCAGAGAGTCTGTGACATCATCAGAAACAAACCAATCAATAGGCTACAGGCTTTTTAGAATGGGTGTGTATGTGACTTCTGGGGCTCTTGGAGCAAACTAACCACTCGGCTACCTGCATCCCAATATTTGGTTACATTTTATAAAGAAAATCTAAATCATGGAGAAAAGCATGGCCTCTGACAATGTGCACCTGTCTCACCTATGTGCAGCACCCACAGGTCTCCCAGCCTGCAGCCGCTCATGCCTCCGTAGATGATGAGTCTGTTGTTCCCGCGGCCACTTGTCACCACGGCGGTGTGGCTCTCTCTGGGGGGCGGGGGCTGACCCGAGGTCGGAGGGATCTCCCAGCCGACCACGCTGGAGCCCGGCCGCAGCTCCAGACAGTACAGGTCGTTCAGGTACCTGGAGAGGACAGGTGAGACGGTTAAAGAGCAGCTGTTTGCATCCAACAGGAAGTGGTGCAGGTACACGGGGCTGGGGATGTTTTCTTTACCTTGGGATGTTATTTTTAGGGTCTTCGCTGTCATTGGCCAGTCCTCCAAACAGGTAGCAGCTGCTTCCAATCAGAGAGAAGCTGTGTCCGAGGCGGGGGCAGGGGGGCGGGCCGTTCTTTGGAGCCTTGGCCTTCAGACGTTTCCACTCCCAGCGGCTCGCCTGAAGACACAACAGGAAGTAGTTTGTACATATTGTCCTAATTATTCATCTTAGAATTCAGAGAAGAAGAATCCAGGACATGTTTCATAAAGACTGACCTGCAGCTCGTACAGGTCGCTGCTGTACTTCCCATACTCCACCATCCCTCCAAACACCAGCAGCCTCGTCCCATCGCACACGAAGCCGTAAGCAGCACAGCCGGGGGGGACGTCACCCCGAACAGCCGGGATGAACCACTGGTTAGTAGCTGGGGGGGAGAGGGGGCATCAAGTTACGACAGTTTACAGGTTAATGTTTTTAAAGTACTCTTTAAACCATCACACAAACGTCTTCCAGATTATTTTAATCCAAAAATAAATTTAGTCCACAAATTTAAAGAACTTTTAGATTTCTATAAGAAGTCTCGTAATACTGCAGTTCAACATACTCAACATAAGCAAGAATTAACACTTGTAAAAAGTTATTTAACCTTTATTAAACCAGGTAATTAACCCACTGAGATCAAGAGCTCTTTCACAAAGGTGACCTGGCCAAGAGGGCAGCAGCAGCGCATGTCACAATAAACAAAAAGTGGGGAAACATTGTGTAAATAAAGTTCAGAAGAGTAGAGTATTTGACAGAGCTTCTACAAGTCCATCTACACTTGAAGGCACAGTTCCTTCAAAGTGAAACTGAATAGAATCGATGTAAAGTCACTGAACCAGGGCAGCACGATATGGAAAAAAACAAACTTAAACTGGGATATATTTTCTTTCTGCGATATATTGAAATACAGAAAATAATAGTATAGTTTCCTAAATATTTATTTTTCGGCTTTTTGTGCCTTTAATGGAGAGATAGAACAGTTGGAAATCAGGGAGAGAGAGAGAGTGGGAAATGACATGTGGGAAAGGAGCCACAGGTGGATTGAACCTGGACCGCCCGCTTGGAGGACTACAGCCTCCATACATGGGGCGCACGCACTAACTGCGCCACCAACGCTCCAACAATAGTATAGTTTTAACACTGAAGTGCAGTTAATTAACTCATTATAAAGTGTGCATATATTAGCTATAACTCTCTGTTTCTGTAGCTATCTGCTGCCGCTTGAGCTTCATCTGACATCAGGAACGCCCCCTGAAGTCAAAACTCTGACTTGTTTTTCTTCTTCTCATTGTTGCGGTTGTTTATTAAACGTTTAAAGAGATGAGCTACGACAACAGAAAAGTCTTCAAGTAGACGTTGATGCGTTCAATTGGATGAAGCGATTCCAAATGCTGAAAATAAAAGCGACTCTATGACAACAGTCACTTAAAAACAGCCGTAGAATGACCAGCGCTGATTTTTACTTTATGTAATCATCTACTTTGTCTGGACACAGAGGTCCAGACAGAGGTACCCTGTGGTACAGTGGTACAGTCGGTCATCCCTAAACCGGGAAGTTGGGGGTTCAATCCCCAGCTCCAGCAGCCACAACTCTGGTGTGTCCTTTGAGAAGACTCTTAACCCAGAGTTGCTCCCGCTGCTGTGACGGCTTATGAATGTGATGTGAATGGATTAGTAAATACTGGTAGACACTTTACACAGCAGCCTCTACCATCAGGGTGGTTATGTGTAGGTGTGACATGTGGTGTTAAAGCGCTTTGAGTGGCCTGACAACCAGAAAAGAAGCTCAAATCTATTTACAACAAAATTGGGTGTCCTAGTAGTAGTAAAAAAAAAAAAAAAAAGGAGTAAAATAATAACAATTAATAATATAATAACAATAAAAAACAACCATAAGACAGTGATTTAATAAAATAACAAAAGAAACCATGTTTGATTATTAACTCCTTATCTTTTCGGTGTGTTGTACTTCACGGCTCTTTGTTGTTTCTATCCGTTATAATGCAGCAGAGGGGCGTGTCACTGTGACGTCAGCAGTGTTTTCAGTAAAAAACGCGCCATTTCTTTCTGTGTTACAGCCGGAGCCGCTGCGTTAGCTCCGCGGCTAATCCCGTTAGCATGCGGTGGCTAAAAAAAAAGGCTAAAGTTAGCTCCAGTAGCAGAAAGCTAATTTAGCCCCGCGGTGCTAACATCCTGTCCTGAGCTCCAGTGACGTGATTAACGTTTATCTTCAGTTTCAAACACATCCACTGAATTAAAAGCCCAAATTATCTATAACAGCTGTTAGTATTTATTTATATGTATCAGCTGTTAGCATTTTTATTTATATATATTAGCTGTTTAGTAAGATAAGCTATGTAGCACTTAGCTTTCTGTTAGCACGGCTAGCGTCTCTCCGTGTTTATCTGTTGACACATTAATTATCTTAATCCATTAAATATAAACACAACAGGTAAACACGTACCTGTGTTGTAGACGTGCAGTTCGTCCACGATCCCCTCGTTCCCTCCTCCGAACACGACCATCAGCTCCTTGATGTTGACGGCCCGGTGTCCGTGTCGGGGCCGCGGCACCGGGCCGCTCCAGCCCAGGACGCGCTTCCACCGGGGCTGCAGCACCGCGGGGGTCCCGGGCTCGGCTTCCATGACGCCTCACTGTGTGTGTGTGTGTTTCTGTGTGTGTGTGTTTGTGTGTTTCTCTCGTTCCTCAGTGAGAAACTAATTCTCCAAATTCAGTTCAGAGTTCGTCAAAGTTTAAAATCAGTTCCGGCCTGCTAACAGCGGGGTTAGCATTAGCCTGTCAGCTAGCTCCCGATGCTAAGCAGCCGGCTGCCTTTAAGTGTTTGTCTGTTATGTTGCTGCCTCGCACTTCCCCGGACAGTTTCCCTCTCTTGTCTGTTGTCTATCAGACAGATTTAAGTCAGACAGGTTGAATCAGAAGCCTCCTGTGGTGGTGCAGTCTGCGGGGGAGCGGTCAGTGTGCTGGTCGTTAGCCGCGGCACTGCAGCGCAGCGTCCGCCATCTTAGCCCGGGTGAAGCGACGCGCAGTCTGGGGGAAAACGAACGAATAACACGCAGAACCGGGAACGCTACGCCGAGCCAGCAGGAAAATAAGATTAACGGCTTCTCCATGCATCAGTGTGACGGAGCACTGTGGAGGCGGAGAGCTGGAGTTTAATGTGCAGAAGTCAGGGTGTGAGCGCCGGGCAGGGAGCCGCCATCTTGCTGCTAACAGCAACCAAACAAAACACAGAGAGGCCGGGCGGCTAGGTGGCTAACTGCTAACAGACAGCTGATCCAGCAGAGGGCGCCAGAGAGTGAACCCGGAATAATAATAATAATAATAAACTGTAATATTTACAGTTATATAGTGAAACTGTAATAATAATAATAATAACAAACTGTAATATCTACAGTTATATAGTGAAACCATAATAATAATAATAACAAACGGTAATATTTACAGTTATATAGTGAAACCATAATAATAATAATAATAATAAACTGTAATATTTACAGTTATATAGTGAAACCGTAATAATAATAATAATAATAAACTGTAATATTTAGTTATATAGTGAAACCATAATAATAATAATAATAATAAACTGTAATATTTACAGTTATATAGTGAAACCATAATAATGATAATAATAATAATAATAAACTAATATCTACAGTTATATAGTGAAACCATAATAATAATAATAACAAACTGTAATATCTACAGTTATATAGTGAAACCATAATAATAATAATAATAAACTGTAATATTTACAGTTATATAGTGAAACCATAATAATAATAATAATAATAAACTGTAATATTTAGTTATATAGTGAAACCGTAATAATAATAATAATAAACTGTAATATTTAGTTATATAGTGAAACCATAATAATAATAATAATAAACTGTAATATTTACAGTTATATAGTGAAACCATAATAATAATAATAAACTGTAATATTTACAGTTATATAGTGAAACCATAATAATAATAGTAACAAACTGTAATATTTACAGTCAGAGTGAAACCGTAATAATAATAATAAACTGTAATATTTACAGTCTATGAGTGAAACATGCAATGTTTTAAATCACTTAATTAATATGAGGGACAAAAAATTACTAAAGTATAAATAAATAAATGTTGGGAGAAATGCATACATTAATGTATAAATAAATAATTAAATAAATGCATCAATAAATATATAAATGCTGAAAACAATACATCAATCAATAAATAATAAATACACTTTGTTAATGAAAAAGGCTATTTATATATTTTTTCATGTATTTATTCATTTATTAGCGTATTTCTACAGTTATATATGTATCAATGCATACATTTCCACATTGAGTTATTAATTTATTTCCATATTTTTACATTTACACATCTATTTATTTCTGTGTCCAGGTCGTAAGAGGAAAAGTATACATGTAAATTTGCTTCTGATGAGTGATGAATTTTGATGAGGCTAGTTTGTCTATTGTGTTTTATTTTGAAGTGCCCTGGCCTCTCCAGCCACCACACCAACTTCCATATTTTGATCTTGAACCATGACCCTCCAGTTCCCAACCCAGGTCCCTACAGTCTGAGCTACTGCCACCTACTACTGTGTTAGTGAAGTGAAAACAAGAACACTTACGTACAGTATAGAAATGATTTATTATTGATTGTACAGACACAGATTGATATCACAGCTCTTCATCCATTATTTGGTATTTAAGATGATAGAGATGAGATGATAATAAATAGAAAACAGAATCATCGGGTCAGCTTGTTTGTGTCATGGTGCGTTCAGGGTCAGAGACACTGCAGCAAGGAACCATGGCTGTTTATTACAAACCATGGAGGATATTATGGGATATGCACCATTATAAATAACAGAGAAAAGACTTAAACAGGACGAGAGGGACACATGCTGTGAAAGGAAAGAGTGAAATGACGACGGCAGGAAGCTGCTGATAAACTGATCCTCCTCAGATTGACAGCTCAGTGTTAATGATTAAAGTTAAAGGAAGTACTCAACAGAAGCTGTAAACAGATCATCATGAAGAACGTTTATGTCTCCTCAGTGTGTTCAGTGAAATGTTAAAACATGAAGAAAGAGTTTAAATAAAACGAGAGGCTGAGCGTGACACTCTGATCCAATACTTTTTCATTATTATCAGAATCAGACAACTGAGGTGAAACACCTGATTCCCTCCTGCAGGTGTGGAGAGGATTCACATTGTACCTGCGTGTCAGACTCTGCTCTCATAGAGCTCTATGGACTGCTGGTGGTTTGAACTAACACTAACTCGTCATGAGAGGCGTGTTGGGCTCAGGTGTGTTTAGCCACTGGAAGGTAATCCAGCTCGTCGCTCTCCTCTGGTCCTCTCCCCTCCTCAGAACTCCGCCCTTCATCTGAGGAAACACAAGACGGCAACAGAGGAGGCCCAAATCAAACACAAGTCATAGAAGTGTAATAAACACATGTTGTAGATGCGTTATAAACAGGTGAGTTGTAAACGTGGCGTTTGCGTACAAAGGTCGTCGGCTGACAGCAGTTCGGGGGTTCGGATCCTTCCCTCGTCGTACTGACTCTTCTTCTGCAGGAAACGCTCTTTAATGGGGTTGATTACCACTGAGCACACAGGTCAAAGGTCACATTATCACCTATTATAACACTTGGGTCAAAGTTCAAATGTTGAATGTTAAGAGTCTAAACTGTCACTGTGTGAAGCTACTTTTACACACTTTTCATCAGGACATCAGAATAAAACTCAAATTCAGAAAAGAAAATGTATCTTTCTTACATGCACTCTGTGAGGAGTTACACACATTAAGATTTTTCCTTTTTCCACATAGTCCACTGCACAGCTCCTACATTACACCTTTTGTACATTTTGTGCTTTTTATTTTAATTTTTTATGTTATATATTTTACATTTTTAAATTCTATTTTCTATATTGTAATATCTTCTTATTCTGTATTATTTAAGTTGTTGCTAGTTCTGCTTTATTTCCTTATTAATTGTTTAGCACCAACACACCAAGTCAAATTCCTTGTATGTTTAAATGTACTTGGCAATAAACCCAGATTCAGATTCTGAGAAACAGTCGGATTACAGAACAGTGTTGCAACATGTACGATAACGATCGTATTTGTACCATGAACAACTGCAGAAAAGGCCAAATGTCTCCTCAACCAAACACTGTTTGTCAATTAAGAGCAACCAATCACATCAGCACCTGACTGACACGCCCACCCCTCTGCTGCCAGGCTCTGCCTGCCAATCAAATCGTCACCTGATGCCCTGCTCACGTCTGCGGCTCGTTATGGAACCTGTAGAGAAAGATGCTACGAGCTCAGCTACAGCGGCTGAAGGCGGAGCAGTCCGCAAACAATCTACACTTTAATATTTTGTTCCTTTGCTTGTTTATTTAAGTAAATGTGGCGTGCAGGGCGTAGTTTTACCGTTCAGTGTGGTATTTAGGACCCGTTTTTTTTTTTTTTTTTTTTTACATGTACGATAGTTTTAAGTAGAATGCAGTAATTATAAAGCTGCAGTACGATATTCTTGTGTTTTCCATTTGGCAACACCTTTTCAAAATAAAAGCTTCTGGTAATAATTGTGAATTATTAAACATTATTTAGTAAATGTTATTTGTAACTTTTAGTCATTTGAGTTCAGTTTGACTGTTATTTCTGGGAAATGTGTTTTGACTGTACTTCATATTTACAGATTAGCATGCTACTGTTAGCTTTGTCCGTTAGCTTGTAAAGAGCGCCCCCTGTTTGTTCTTAAGGCAGAGATGCTCCACGCTAAGCTAACATGTCGATCTGTCTGTGTACCTGGGGGCCCCGGAGACAATGACTGCAAGGACCCCACAGGAGAGAGGCTTCCTGGGACTCCATACAGATCTGCTGTGGCGCCCCCCCCGGTGAGAACCCCTGAACTGTCCCTGCTGCAGCCGGGGCGGGTGGGGGAGTTGTACTGGTTCTCGGTGGGGATGGACGGCTGATTGAACTGGGACTCTGAGGGCCTTGTTGGATGGAGATTCTGGTCTCTGGTGGATGGAGACAGAGATCTGGAACTGGTCCCATTGGATCTGCACGGGGAGCGGAGGTCATACTGTGAAAAACCTCGACTCTCATCGGTCTCACAGGGACCGATGAAGGACGCGGAGCAGGGGGGTAGGGAAGAGGAGGAGGATGAGGAGGGGAGGGAGGAGGAGGAGGAGAATGAGGGGAGGGAGGAGGATGAGTGTAGCGGGTCAGGGCGGGTGAGAGAGCAGAAGGAGGAGGAGGAGGAGGAAGAGGAGGACATGGAAGGCTGGTACGTGTCCTCCAGCGGTCCCACTTTGGACATTTGTTGGGACAGAGCTTCCACACTGGAGTCCAGAGAGTGGGGGGGTCTGGGGAGGGAGGGGGGTTGAAGATGAGGGTGATGAAGTAGGGAGGCGGAGGAGCAGCTGTGCCTCACACGGCTGTCCCTCACACGGCTGTGGATGTCCTGAAGTTTGGCAAACACCTGAGAGGAGGAACAGAGGAGGATCAAAACAGGAGCCCTGAGGAACTCCACATGCTACCGTAAAATATAAGTGCACTGGTATATAAGTCTCGTTCTGTTTTCTGGGGGGGGGGGGGGGTCTCTCACTGCATTTGTGGTCTCCTGTTTTTGGATTTTATACTGGTATATTGGTCGCAGCGGTATAAAGGATACAGACGACTTTTTAGATGGAAAAAAAAGGGATTAAAAGTGCGTCTTCTACAACGGATTTTGCCGCAACTTCTAAAAAGATTACTATGAAGAGATGCCAGCGCCCCCCTCTCAGGCTGCACGGTGTTTACCAACCAACCTCACTATGAGGCTCCATCTACTCGCAAGACACGCTCAGACAAGAGTGTGACAGTTTCCTCTCACTTTATTCTCTCATTCCATGATTATATGTGCTCATTTATAACTGAGGACAGACGCAGCCACTAACACAGAAATAAAACAGAAGCAGAGTTTGTTTTCTTTAAATAAACAGAAAACACTCTCTGTCTCACCTTCTCCATTTTCGGTCTCTTCTTCCTGTTCTCATCAAGACACTCGCAGGCCAGAAACACCATCTCCATGTGGCCAACAGGCTCTGCAGCACCCCCTGCAGGACGACACAGACACAACAGCTGCAGGTATCAGGAACAAACACACACACACACACACAATCACAAACAAAAACTATCGCAAGGGATATTTTCATTCCCAAGCACAGACACACCGACACACACACTGACCTGAGATCAGCCGGTGGTCCAGCTGTTTCCTCCACTCTGCTGCACAAGAACCAGCCGGACTGTCCTCCACCTCCACCACCAGGTCCTTCTGCAGACCAAACACAGGAACCTTTAGATCCCTTTACATGGCACCAGGACTGGACCCAGCTTCAAGTTCAACATGTAAACTAGTTAGTTTGTAACTTAAGTTCTGTCATTGTTTGGTTACCATGGAGACGTGAGGTTCATCTTAACTAGTAGAGCGTAATTTCCAAACTAACTTAAAGGCAGGGTTGCTAATTTTCAAAAACTAGCATGATTTTGACGGTAGCATTCCCTCAGTGCCCCCCCCCCCGTGCTCCCTCAAAAGCCACTCATGCAAGAGCGCCGTTTCTCCAGAAGCGGCACCTCAGCTCATCGCTTTGAGTGTGGCCAGGTGCATGCATGGGGTAGAAAGGGAGACAGGGAGGCGTGTGATTGGTTCATCAGATTGGTACCTGGTGGCAGACATTGGTCGAGTGTGTGTGTGTGTGTGTGTGTGTGTGTGTGTGTGTGTGTGTGTGTGTGTGTGTGTGTGTGTGTGTGTGTGTGTGTGTGTGTGTGTGTGTGTGTGTTCTGACCAGGTATGTCTCTGCTGACGTCCTGCCTCGCTCCATGGCTCGCCGACCCGTCAGGACCTCCAACAGCACCTGAAACACACACAGACGTCGTCACCATCATTGTAGTCTGTGTTAAACTAACATACTACATTTCCCATCAGGCCTTGCGGTGGCTCACCACTCCGAAGCTGTAGACGTCCACAGCGGTCCCCAGCTGTCCGTTCCTCACGTATTCGTTGGGCAGGTACGCCAGCGTGCCCCGAACCGTCTGCGTCATACCGATCGACGCCGTCTGAGCAGCCGAGCGCTCCGCCGGGCTACGATGCGCAAAGCGAGCCAGGCCGAAGTCTGCCAACTTTGCCACCATGTGACGGTCCAACAGGATGTTTGAGCTACACACACGCACGCGCGCGCGCGCACACACACACACACACACACACACACACACACACACACACACACACACACACACACACACACACACACACACACACACACACACACACACACACACACACACACACACACACACACACACCACACACACACACACACACACACACACACACACACACACACACACACACACACACACACACACACACACACACACGTTAGGTGTTAGCACGAGGCTCAGGGGATGATGTCATGTGATGTCATACTGACCTCTTGACGTCCCCGTGGATCAGTGTGATGTGTTTTTCGGGGGGGCAGTGGAGGAACTTCAGAGCCTTTGATGCTCCTTCAACGACACTGACTCTCTCCGACCAGGAGAGGAAGCGACTCTCCTGAAACACACACACACAAACTTCGTAAACTTTGAAAACCCACGTTTCTGACTCTACCCACGGTCCTATCTCTAAAACATAACGGCATAAAAAACTATATGCGTGTGTGTATCTGTGTGAGCGTCTGCATTAGAGTGTGTGAGTGTATGTGAGGGTGTATCTGTGTGAGCGTCTGCATTAGAGTGTGTGACTGTATGTGAGGGTGTATCTGTGTGAGTGTGTGTATGTGTTACATTGTGCAGCTGGTCGTCCAGTGATCTGTTCTCCATGTAGCTGTAGATGAGACACACACACTCCGGTCCCTCGCTGAAGCCGAGCAGATCCACGATGTTTGGGTGTCTGAATCTGACACACACACACACACACACACACACACACACACACACACACACACACACACACACACACACACACACACACACACACACACACACACACACACACACACACACACACACACACACACACACACACACACACACACACACACACACACACACACACACACACACACACACACACAGTAGAATCTTTGCTTTTACAATGCAGTGCTCGCAATCCCAGCTTCAGAGTCACTGTTGCTAGGATACCCCATCTCCCTCACCCCCCTGTAATCGTTCCCTCGAAAAGGCGGGTCAGATTACTTTCTCTCCCGCCATTGTTGTTGACAAAGCTGATATAATAAGTCCCGCCTCTTCTAGACTGTGATAGGTCGGTGAGGGAGAAGTGACATTGGCGAGCGAGGTGGTGTTACAAAAAGTTGAGCTCGGTGAGCAGCTGACACCGAGGGCGCCATGA